TTTATTATTCTTGATGCATAATATAATGGATGACTTATGTGCTTGACAAGAATTATAAACGATTTAAAAATGTTGAGGAGGGAAGGCAAAGTGCGACAACGTTTAGCCTTATCTTCTCAACATTTTTAAATCGCAATACAGTCGCAGAAAATAAGATTTGCTGAATTCAATGATAAAAATCCGTTAAGTTTCTTTGTCTTCAAATTGAAATGAACGTCTATAACTGTGAACTGCACTTCGTGTCGCCACAAGCTAATTGACCGCTGCCGTACGTCGGTTCTATCAGCTCGACGACAGTAGTGAAATAGTCCCCCCGGCTTTGAGATGTAATAGGATCGCACTTGGCTATTACCACTGGACCACGTCGTCGCGTTATCCTGCTGTAAGATACCGACGCGCCGTAAATCTCGGTCCACGATAATCCCACGAGCAGACTCGAGCCAGGAACCAACCAGTCGAGAGAAGAAAGTGAGGAAAAAGCGTCTCATCTACAGCCGAGAAGTGTCGCGCCGGGAGACCGCGCTTATCTCACACGTTTTCTTCGAAAATAAATGTACACGCTGCCGCTTACGATACTGAATCTCGGTACCGGTGCTGAAGGTTTAATGCAGCGAAACGGGCGAGTCGAGAAATTACCGGGGATCCTGGAAACCTCGCCCGATTGCGCACAACGCCGGCAAATAGCCTTTAGATGAATCGGAGGAAAACGAGGGAAGAAGTAAGAATGATAAACGTACAAAGCCATTTAGCTCTTATACGCTAGTCGGAAAACTATAGAAGTAAAACTAGAATTACAAACTACTAAGAATAGTACAAAAATATATCATTATAAGAAAAAGTAATTAATTTGTAAAAACATACAATACTTATACTGTTTATAAGCTTTTCTATTCAGGTGTGTCAAATTACTATTCTGAATGGTATCACAATAGAAAAATGTTTCGTTAAAATTTTCTCCGCCTCTCCCCAGAAAAAGGAAAAAATATTTCAACTTTTTTGTCAATAAATACTATATACTTTATTTTAGAAAACATAATCTGCACAAGTGTCATTCCATTTTAGTTATTCATTAAATATTAAAAAGACAGCGTTTCTATCGATTGTGTCTCCTAAGAGTAAAGCAATCACTATTTCGTAATAGAAAAGAAAAATTGATAATGAAAAAGATAAATTCTCCCCGTCGATCCTTATTTAAGAGAAAAATTTTAATTTTTTCAGAATACTCGTTATATATATATATAATAGCCGAAGAACAGTCATCTTGACATACAAAGAAGATGCACAATTAAGGCACGGTCGTCGCTTCCCGGGGGAACGCAATGCCGCGTTTCTTCTTCATCTTAATGAAGAGTCGTCGATTTCCCGCGAATTCGTTCCACGTTACCCCGCAAGACAGAACTCCGCGAGTCAAAGGCTTCGAGACCTTCGACCCCCTCGGGAGGCCCGTAGTCACGGTACACCGCGGTCCTTGATACATGGTCCTTGAAGGGGATACGCTGTCCCCCCTGGCGATGCAACGCGAGGTCGATGTTTTCCCTCCCTCGTCGAGCGTGTGTGTATGTGTGCTCTCGCGATGGAGGCAGATGCGATATGGGAGTATCGTGAGCACGGTGTGTCTTGGACTCTCGGTCTTGGACGAGACAACGGACCACCAACCGGGCATCTCGGAACGACCGACGATGAACCGGATGCACCTATTCCCGCGGGAACGTCCAGCCGTCGTCGTCGCGCGACTTGCAGAACTCATCACGGTTCAAAGTTCAACGATCTCCGCAGATTTTCTTTTCCCTGACGAGCATGACGCGAGAGATCGGCTCGTAACAATCGGCTCGATGGCTTTAAGCACCCCACACACTCGATCGTTAATGTCGCAGCATATCTGATAGCAAAAGTGCTTGACCAGAAAGTGTTTACCTTATCTAAAGAGCATGATACTGCGAAACAAATTGCAAAAAAGTAGCATGAGGCTGTTCTCTTTAGCGGAATTTTGTGCACGGTTCATCTTTTCTCTTTTTCTCTTTAGTGGGGAGAGAAATGGAAAAAAAAGGATGAATTTTGTGCAAGAACTTTAGCTAAAAAAAAAATACATCTATTTACTCAAAAAGACAGGAGAGGTAATTTCATAATTCTGCATACATATAAAGTTTTGCTAAAATACTTAAAAATTTTATTATAAATAGGTATAGAACTGAAAATAATTTTGTTTGAATTAAAATAATTATATAAAATGCTCAAACTTAAATAGTTAAACTGTTAAACTGTTAAATTGTTTGCAGCAATGTTTCAGTTTTCTATAATTATTTTTTAGCCTAACAAAATTATTTTGAAATTTATATTTAACTAAAATTTTAAATATATATATTAGCAAAATAATTCTTTCTGTCCATGCGTGATAATTCTTGCGATATAAATTAAATGATAGTGAAAGTACTTGATCAAGAATTTTTTTCCTTACATAGAACGTGTGATACTGTGGCACTAATTACAATAAAGTAGCATGTTTCAAAAAGACAGAAAAGATGATTTCCTAATTCTAGATACAGATATATAATACGATAATTTTCGCGGATATAACATGAAAGACTGTCACGTAAATTGGGTAAAAATCAGCGTATTTTTAGCTCATTTTTACGTTGTCTAATTAGTCGTTCGAAGAAAAGCACGAACGTGACAAGGCAAATCGTGAGACAGTGTCTTTGACGTCGATCGCGCGGAGACATCCGGTTCGTAGCTGATTCTCTGTACATACATAAGCCTAGCTGGTGGTCCAGTCTGGGACACAACTCGCTCGCTCGCGAGCCTCATATCGGTCCTTGGACCTCTCGTTGGCGCAGAATACGGGGACCAGCATTGGCGACGGCTGGCGAGACAGTGCCCGTATGTGCCGTCCTCTCAAGGACCATCGCCGTGAAGATCGCCGTCGTGTGCAGTACCGACGGTGGAAGCCCATTAAGGCCGAGACATCCCGTCCCGACCGTCGTCGCAAATCATAGGTTTAATGGAACGATAAATTCGTATTCATGCCGCGTGCGCGCCGATCCTCCCCCGCAAAGTCCATTGCTTTCGCCTTTCGCAAGCCGATGTTCGAGCGCGCGCCATGAACGTCGAGGAAAAAAAAAGGAAGGAAAGGGGGTAACTTTGAAGGAGAGGCTTAATAAAGGACCGCGACGAGCATGATGCGCGCACCTCGGAATCCGAATAATTGATAGTTGCATCGCGTTCCTCGCCAGCATCTCCCCGTGAATGCTGTCGAATGACGCGGAAGAGCGAACAGAGAAGTTAGAAACTAATACAGACACTTGAGCTACACGAACAGGAGGAGTTCGTCGACATTTTACTTTTCTTTTCTCTCGAGAACAAATAATCTTATCTACCGTCTCAATTACGTTAAAATTTATAATTAATCCCTACAATTAGTTCTTAAAAATTCCTAAAAATTACTAATTAAATCCCACTAATTCGTGATTCTTGAAATTAGATCTGTGACTGAAATAGTGTATACTTTTAGAACTTGAAGTCTGATGGGTTGCAAAATAATGAAGGGTTTGAAAAGTGCCCAAATTTATTAATCTCTTACTATTAAACAGCATTGCTCTTTCTTTACATTAATATTAAATATTATATCAATACAATATATTTTATATTAGATTTTGTTGATATACCCTCTATCTGCATTCTCATCTCACCTGCATGCACGTGACAATTCATTCAAAGTTTATTTATTTGTAGCAACTTTATATTAACATTACCATGGGAAATCTTTTCTAATTGCAACGAACTACCTATATCGTAATATCAGTATGGAAATTAGTGAAATTACATGATTCGCATTGCAATAAAAACTTTCCAATTTACAGTTTTTTTTATAAATGCTCGCAGCAGGAAACAACGGGTTACGAATTGCGATACGCCGGTAACGACAAAATTATAATTTTCCACAAGCTCGATCGTTTATAAATATTCATACCCAAGAAATTATTCACGACGTCGTCCTGTGGGGACCTATGCCCTTCGTCGTTAGGTAAATTGCGTTGCTTGTTCGCACATGTGAGAAAATCGACTATGTATGTATAATGCATCCATTATATCAAGAAGATGATAGTTACTCTCCTCGAGCTATGCTTCAGAAAAGTAGTTAAACTCGCTATCCTAGTAAATGCCAAAACTTGTAGTATTTTATTAGTTTTTTAACGCATTCGTATATGATATATATAATAGGTAATAATAATAAACACAAAGTTAAATGGTGACCTTATTAAATAAAAATGTTAATTAAAGAATTTTATTGGATATATTTTAAGCGAGAAATAAGTATCTGCAATTAGATAGAAAATTTATTAAAGATCTCTTGTATGCTTTTATATAAAATACGTTAAATATACTTTCTAAACGTTACCAAAAACTATATTTAATGTATTTTAAACATTACATTTAATAGGTCTACAAGTTTGCTCCCGCCGTTTTCATATAGATAGTTTTATACCTGTAAAAACGGCGGGAGCAAACTTGTAATTATTAATTAAAAACATAAAATCATCAAAAGAAAGGAGGAAAATCTAAGTTGATGAAGTATATACATACAGCTGATTAGTTATTAATATTTTAGTATCAAACTACAAGTCTGTTTCACAATTTCCTTGTATTTCGGGCAAAATAAAACCTTTGGGCATACAATTATTAAGTCATAAAATCATGTGAAAGATATTAATAACGTTAATAAAATATATTATAAAAAGAGAGATATTAATATATTTTATTGGAGAATATAAAAGAAAATGAAATAATTAATATTTAATTATAATAATAATTTAATAATCATAATTTTTTAAATTTCATTATAATGCATGTTTAAGAAAAAAAAATATATACTTAATACATATTAAGTTAACCTCAGGGGACGCAAATTGAACAATACCAATTTAGGCAAATGCAAATTGAAGCTGAGACACCTTGCCATTATATAGTTATGGCTCATTAACTTTTAATTACATTTATTGCAGATGGCCAGTATAGAGGTATCGTTATCGACGACACCAAGGCGGAAGAAAGGCGGCAGTATTTCCGGAGGTGTTCCGTCCCCCGCTGGTCACCGGAACAGAGATCATTACAAGGAATTGGATGCCCTCCGCGTGGCTCTACGCGACAAAGAAAATATCATACAGACGTGAGTAATTGCTTGATTACAGCCTTCAGATACGCGGCTGAGAGAGGGCTATTGATCACGTCCTATTGCTTTATTATAATGATCGCGCACAAGAGAATAACAAATGAGCGATAGGCAATGAGCAGACCTGATATTCCTTTAGAGGAATGCGAGAGCTGGATTTTCATAAATGAATATAATCGCGATTTAAAATTCTTACTTAGAAATAGCATGTTCGTTAAGGCTTTTCTGAATTAATTTGTCGGGCCAATTTTTTTGCTTTCGTCGTTATAAATATGTATAAATGAATCGTCCCAAAGGGGAGCTGCAGTAAAAAATATTACACGTCGTTAATATTCTTTTTTAGCTTTTTTCTGGTCGCTCGCTCTTTGCGCAAAGGAAATATTCTTCGAATATTTCATACCGTTCGACATACCGACACCGAGACTTTCTGTTCTTTTCTGAAGTAAGATGAATGTACCAGTTAGTGGACAATTAGTGGACATGATCCAATTATTGCACGACCCAATCACAGTATACAATATTAAAAAAATATTTTAAAATGTTCTTTAAATATTTATTTAGTGTAAAAATATTAAATAAAAGGTTGAAAAATGTTTTTTAAATTTTGTGTGCTGATTGGAGAAATATAACAACAATTTTAAATATTAAGCTTCTAATGATATACAACTTTAAATAAATTCATTGTTTATAAAAATTTAATAAGACGAATTTATTTATATTCGTGCATATCTTTAAAAGCTTAATATTTAAAATTTTTGTTACTTAATCCAATAATTGAGTCATGTCCACTAACATTTATTTATTTTACAATACTCATTAGAGTAGTTTTAATTTATTTATAAAAAAACATTTTTATTAAAATACGATATGTGATGCAAATAAAGCGCATTCTGCATTAAATTCTACAAAATTAAAAAATTAGGAGAGGCGCCATTTTCTTTTTGTGAAAGATAATTGTGTAATGTCAGATATTTCCAGCGATATAAAAAGAATCAACTTCGGATTTCAACGTATATGTTTCTAAGATCGAGGCTGCAGGTAGCGAAGGTGTTTTCCTTCTTCGAGTCACGGCATTCGTGCCTCTCGTTATTTTTTCAGACTCAAGGGCCAGCTTTGCAACACGCTGAGCGGTAGACTGGCATTACGCAACGGCGCGCCACCCTTGACCGAGGCCGACAGGAAAGCGGCCGAGGAGCGGCTTCAAAGGCTGCGACGGGACGCCGACAATAAGCGTCTGGCCATTAAGAACCTGAAGCTCGCGCTCGAACGTCTCGATATCACAGAGTAAGTACGAGGGAGATCGCCGCGGGCTCATTCGGCCGCGTTTATCGTAAATCGTGATTACCGATACCTATACGAACGTTTGCCATAAACACGGCAGCACGGAGGAATCTACATGCATAAGGACAGTATAGCTGAAAAACCGAACTCGTCAACGTAATTATCGCAATACACTTTAATGGAATATTATTGCACTGCATATAGGATCGACGTATAATTACTTTATCTGATGCTCAATTGATAATTATCAAAATAGTCAGGATGGATGATGTTTAAGTAATTGATCCGAAATGTGTTAATTTATTAAATTTGTGTATCTTTATAAAGTTATCAATTTGCTTGATTAAAGTTCGTAGATACATTACTGTAACTTAATAAAGATAGAGAAGAGAACAACTTATAGTTAGGTATTGTTTACCTAAAAGATCCTCTGATTATTCGTTGTTATGATATTTCAATAAATTTTAATTTTTTTAAATATAAAACAATTTATTTCTTAAACTTGATATACATCTGGGGTCCCACCTTCGTCAATGTGTGTAGTTCCCGCTAGGATTCCTATCTCGGCCAACTAGGGTTTATAGCCCACTGGGCGAACATGGGCATGATTTGCCCAAGATAATTAAAATAGAAAAAGTTAATGTAAAAATAAAAATCAGACTCAATTTGGAAAAAAAAGACTCAATTTGGAAAAAGGGACAGTGAAGAACAATAGTATGGCAATGACCTCCTCTTCTTCTTCTTCATAAGTAGATAATATTTAGAATCAAATCGTTGGAGCCAAGGCTCACTCGCTCATTTAACAGAATTAGATAAAATCGTCACCCCGGACGCGACATAGATGTATTTTATTTGCAAAATCTAAAATTAATTAAGCAAAAAATAATGTATTTGAGATTTTTTTTTTATTTTAAATCGATAACTAACTTTCATCTAGAAAATTGAATGGAAATCTTTTTTTAATTGAACGCACATCGATTCTCAACAGCAATAAAAATAATTGTTTTTAAATAAAAAAGCTAGTTTTTTATATTAAAAGAATATCTAATATGAAAAGCAAATATAATACAACAAATGCATCAGGTTGCGAAGTATTTGTTAAGATGCTTCAACTTTGTAATGTAAATGCGCTTTAAATATACGCAATACTGATTTCAGTAACATCGACGTTCGAATACAGCAAGCAGAATTGGAATACAGACTAGGTCGCGAGGAGCTTGAACTGCTAACTCTTCATGAGGAAAGCAGAGCTCTGCAAACCGCCTTGGAGCTGGCCGAAACTCAAGAAAAACAAAAGAATGATACAATATTCAGGTACACGTTTTTCATTTTATTTCATTGTCATATTTCTGCATACGTCTTATAGAGCCGAACATTTCGGTAAACATTTGTTACACGGCAAAAAACACTGAAAATTAACCGCAATGCTCGCAGCTCGAGGTTTGGCTCGAGTTTCGGCTCAATAATCTGGATGCACCCTTCAGACAGTTATATTAATTACTACCATGCAATTTAACTTGTTGTAGCATATCATATAAACTCGAGATAATAAACTTTGTTTTTTCTACTTACTTACGAAACAACAAGATTTGATTGACGTTCAAAATAAAAGAATATCTTTCTGTATATTTTTAATATATACGAATATAGTGATTTACTATGAAAATATAAGTTTGTCGTTTAATTAAAGATAGAACTGTTTTACAAGAATTTAATGAAACTTTCCACTATTTTTACGACGATTTTCTTGCCATTTAATATCTTTATTAATTAATTTTTACATATTAATATTTTATTTATCCTCTTCTGAACCTCACTGAGAAAAATTTTACTGACCATTGCTTGCCATATGTTTTGCTCAACTTTCAAGTTCAACGTCTTGCTTGCAGCTGCATTTCTGGTTCGACGCAAGTCACGATTCACGCGGTAGAAGTCAGTGCGGATCCGAAAAGTCCCCGTTTCGGAGCTGGCCCTAGGGACGATGCAATAGGTCTCTACGTCGATTGGGCCGTAGAAGATTCCGGTCTTTGTAAGGGAGACAGGTTCGTATTGCCGTACACTGCAACAAGTTCGGAATTCGCGAGTCATCGAATAAACATCGTGCAGCTGCACCTGGTTATATATCTTGTCGATAGCCTGATGGATAGTGATAGCGTTCTGGAATTCGTAAACCCGTATGAAGCTGGCCCCCCCAATATTAAAAAATCGATTTTTTTTCTTCATGCATTCGTTTGCTCATCGTTTGCTCACGAATGCTCAGTTGAAATTTTCGTTTGCTCACCCTTAGTTCAAAAGATATACTAAAATTATGTGTTTTGGGGGCCAACTTTACACTAGCCACAAATATTAAAAAATCGATTTTTTACTTTATGCATTCGTTTGCTCATCGTTTGCTCACGAATACTCACGTTATTTAACGTCGAGAATTGAAAAATAACAAAAAAAAAGTCTATTTAATCGAATTTTCGCTGAGGACAATTTAACATTGATTAAGGAATATATTTGTAAAGTTTGTCGAAGTATTTTACATTATTATGTAACATTAAATTACACAATAATATTACAATTTTTCACTCTATTTATTTTTCTTTTAATTAATAATTAAAATAAACTATTAAATAGATATATTAAGTATTTTATTTTCCGAAGATAAAGATATATTTCAGGCAAAGATATACTTCAAAATATTCTTCAACAAATTGTATATAATAAAGGCATGTACAAAATAAATAAAATTTTCTATTCCACACTGATAAGTGAAAAATAAAACAAACATTAAAATTTCAAAAAATGAAAATAAATTAAATTCTAAAAATTCTAAAAATTCAATTTTTTTGTCCGGAAAATGTAAACATTTTTTTGTTGGAATAAATTGAAATGTATACTTTCGAAGTTTTTAAGGCTCACAAAGTCAATCAAATATATTGACAACACCAGTAAAACTATCTCTGCGCGGAACTGTAAATCGAGCGTCGACTGTTTTGTTTTATTGTTCTCGGAGATGTTACAACAATGCGGATAAGGATACTCCTCCGCATTTCTGTGAAAAGAGAAGGAGGGTCTTGCACATAACTACGAGAGCTGGGATAAACCGTTCCATTCGCGCGTTCTTTAATCATCGTATAATAAGAGAGGAAAAAGTCCTGTTTCTGTCGACGCGACATCTAATAATTACGCCGTATTCTTCTAGTTTAGCTTTGGAACGATACGTCGCTTTCCGATGATTTATGAAGCGTAACACTCGTGATCTGGAAGTCTCAAATAACATTTACGATTGGATGGAAAAATAATATGTAATCTTGCCACCTTGATATGCTTTCCATAGAAATCGTCGTTCGAATTCGATCGAATGACTTGAAAGGAATCCTCTAATTTTTTTGAAGTGAAATGTCACTCTAAAGACAAAGAGTGAAAATTGAACCAGTCTTGATAAAGAGTGACTCAATTTTTAATACTTAAAAGAGTGAGATTTCAGTCTTTAGAATAAGATTTTACTTTAATAATTTTAGAGAGAATTAAGATTACCTGTACTCTCTCTAAAACTTTTTTTTTAGAGTGAAATTAAACATTGAGCCACTACTTTTTAAAGACTGGTTCAATTTTTAATTTCACTCTAAAAAAAAGTTTTGGAGAAGGTAAGATTCTACTCCAAAGAATTTAGAGAGTTGGAAAATCAGAATTCAGGGAAATCTATTAATTCGAGCACAGCCCTGTTAGTTACGGAACAGGTGAAGGAAGAGTGTCGGAGAATCATAGTGTTTGTGCATGACGGTATGGTAGTACTACGTAACGTGGCTATCGGGAAAGAACAATGCGGCAATCTTGACATTCGGTTCCCAACGGGTCGCTGTAGCGTGAAGCAGCACAGGAAGTTCGCCGTGTGCCCCCGTTAATTGCATTCGCGACTTCACATGACCCCACCTTCTACTTCTACTATTTTCCACTAGTATACCCACTCGAGGGAATTCATTGTACGGCCGGCGGTATTCTGGAATTACCTGCCTACATTAGTCGCTCAAAAATCGTGTAAATTAATGTGAGCTTTGAACTTTTCGTTCAAGACGCTTGATTTGAGAGATGTATTTTCGAGTGAGCTTGTACGCACAAGTTTAATTGCGTAATAAAAGATAAACTCGGTCGAATGTACAAGTTATTATTTTATTATAACTTAGAAAATTTAAATATTCGAAATTAAATTTTTTTATGTGATGTTAAAATCACATTGGATAAACTTTTAAAATATATTCCTCAATGTAAAGTCGATTTTTCTTCAGTAAATATTTGATTCTTCTTTTTAAAACGTTCTTTTTTTTGCTTGTTAATTTTGAATGTTAAATATCTTGTTGACGGTTATATATAGTAACAAGAATTAAATTCTACTGAATAAAATCAAGCTTTTAAATGAAGAATAAAATTCTTTTAATATCATAGATTAGTCACAAATAAAATTCCATCTTATTATTAAATTTTTATAGATTCCGAATAGAGATAATCTAAGTCGTCCGAGATTTAAATAGAGCACTTGCGCAATCGTACGCGACTTATTGGTCAACATTTCTTTCAGAATCTTGGAAGTGAACGGCAAACTCGTGGTAGGAGCAGGTAGAAGCGACCTGGCACGTCTTCTAGCCGTCGCGCCCGACGCCGCGCAGATAGTGGTCCTTCGAAAGGGAGAATCCCTTGCAGCGTTGCGTACCCTGCGCTCTGATAATCTCAGGCTGACGCATAGAATCGGTTACCTTGAGGAACAGGTCAGAGATCTTCTGGCGCCGAGCAGAACCGAAGTCCCCACCGAGGATCCACCGCCTAGTCGTCAGGAACATGTACAGGTAAACGCTGGCACATTTAAAATCGATATAAATCGCCAACATTTCTTGTCTCTTCGAGAGAAGCATTTGTGTGTTGACAGACGGAGATTCGTTTCGATCTAAAAATTCTGATTTTGTTATATAAATATATTTATTTATAAATTGTTATTTAAAAAGAATTATATCAAAAGAGAGCAACTTCATAAAAATAACATAGAAGACTATATAAACAATATCAAGTCATGTATCTACTGTATCATAATGAAACAATAATACTAAGATAGTTGAGTGAAAACCTGTTTTAACAATATTAAAATAGTTGATATTTTAAATAAAAATTTATGTATACATATATCTTATCACTTACCTAAAATGCATATATATGTATCTATACATTTAAATTTTAAATATTTAATAATAAACACTTCTCACTAACTAAGAATGTTATTGCTAAGGAGATAACACTATAATTAAACAAAAAGCAGCAAAGGATATAATTGGAAGAAACGATAGTTGAGAAAAGATTGTATCACACTGGACCTTTATTTAATTAGGTTTTTGAAATTAATCGAATTGATATTAAAAATATGTATTGATTTGGAAATTCAGTTTTGTCAAATTTATGTCGCAGGTTTTCCAAAAGGGGCCTCAAGTGACAGCACTTGTGGCAAATCTACCTGGTCTCAATGTGAGAAGTAGCACGGAACTGCGACAAAGTCTACCGACCGTCCGAAGTAGTAGACACAGCGATCACTCCAGGCGCCTGATGGACTCGAGGAACCAGCGCGAGCTTGACTTTTCATCCGATGGGGTAGCGAACGGTCACCACAAGTCCCGGAACCGACAAAAGCACCAAGGGCTCCAGTTGGCCAGATCGACAGCCAGTCTCGACTGCAAGCAATCACCGATGCAGATGCAGCGTCGAAGATCACCGCGTGTCGAGTCCGCCATGGAGCATTTGCACAAAAGTCGCAAGAGCGGCTCGCAGTTACAATCCTTGGAGTTTGATTCCGAACCTACTTACTATCGTTTGCAGGTACATCGCCTGCACAATGATGTAGCATCGGGAAATTACTGAAACTATAAGCAGCTATTATTTTATAATAAGTAAACAGAATAAAAATTAAATAAAAAAAGTACTTCACAAAGTATATCATATGCTTTATATTTAATAATAATTAATATAATACTTAATACTTTAAAAATTATATATACCTACTTCACCAAACTTTATTCATACGATACTTTTATCTTATTCCATTTTATATAGGATTCCCAGTCTCGCGCATCAGAGAATTCAGAAGTATCGGCAGTGTACAGTTCCCAGGAGGCAAAGACTCGCCCGGCGCCACCGAAGAAACCACTGCGGCTCTCCCTACATCGCGCAGCGAGTCTTCAATCCGTAGAAAGCGCACCACCGGCCGCGCCACAGCATGACATAGCGCGAAAGCCGACGAAGAGGAACCATCGAGGCGATCCACCTACGGAGAAGGCTGCATCGCGACCTGAGATAAACGGGAACGGGAACGTGAACTCCCAAGAATCTCACGCCGGTCCACCGCAGCCACCCCCAAGGACGCCCTCCAGGGCAGAATCATGTCAAAGCGCCCTGCGATGGCCCTCTCCTAAGCCGAGAGCGCACTTAACGTCCGTGCCAATGGAGAAGTGGTGCTGAACCTTGGGAATTTACGGACGTTTCTCGGACGAGAAAACGAAAGAGAGAATAAGAAAAAGAGAATAAGCAGTAACAGTTTTCGAGATAGCTAGAAAGTTTGAAAGCACAGATTTCGAGAAAAAAAAAACGAAAGTAATGTTGATATTATTAATAATAAATATAAAAACGATGTATGAAAGTTTTATCTAATAGATTCTTAAGACATTCAATTTAAAATTGATTACATTGCAAACTGGCAATGCATTAAAGACAAAATTCAATTTATGCACTTGCTCTCTATCAGATTTATTAATTAATAACTTGTGCATTCTATAGATATTAAATAGTTCTAAGTGTATGATATAAAATATACTTCTAGTGTAATAATTCTGATATGTCATATCAGGGGCGCGTTATGTTGCAAGGATAGAATTTAAGATGAATATTTATAACGAAGTTTATTTTAGTTCGCGTCTTTTTCTATAAAAGCTTACAAGCTCATTTCCTAAAACGAGATATTTATTTCGCTCGAGAGTAAATGATAAAAACATAAGACTGATAAATTGCATAAATCGGATAGAATTCGACTTTGAATGAAAATAGATACAAAAAACGGGATCTCTAATATAGTACTATATAGTATCTATATATATCATTTTTACTTTAAACAATTTTATTAATTAATAAAAATAACAACTTCTTTTCAAGATTCTTTAAGAGATTATATTCTTTGATTTTCCGTTTTCGACAGATGGAACATCTGCAATATTTCTTTCTTATCATAAACTTTATCTTAAAACATGTACATCATGTATTACATTTTACAATCAATATTTTTTATCAGCACATTTCTTAGTTTCATTCATCAATATCTCTTCGTAACAGTGATACCAAAAATATAATAAATTATTAAATCATAGCAGATGTAATGCTGGTCTTCCTTGCCTATCACTGGTTATTCATTTGTGATCAACGGCTATATGGCAAATTATTTACTTTCGCAATTTCTCTTATAATAATAGGTATAAATATGTTGTTAGACAATTTTGTCAAATCAAAGACTATCGAAGAAGTAAACAGAAATAGAAAGTATGGCACATATTTCAATTATTGCGTATCTGTTTCAATTTCTATATAATCTTTGCATGATTTATTATTATATATTATTTTCCTTTCATTTATAATAGCGCAGAGATCGTGAATACATTTATGTTTGCAAACCGAACCATAAGCGCATAAACTTATTGTGATTATTAATAATTTATTACCTGATTGAGATTGTTTTACAATTTATTAAAAACACATTTTGTAATAAGATATATAATATTTTTTTCTAATACAATTCTACATGTAAAGATGATACATAAACTCAATATACTGCAATTTCGTAAGATCAATAAATAACGTTATTTGCTAGTTAAATATTTTTACTATATACTTAAGTGTATAAATGTACAAAGTTATATTGATTTATCTTTGCAATAATCAAGAGAAAAAAATTTTGAGTATTATATATTTCACAATGTGTATTAAAATAATATTTATCTTGTAACATAACTAATTACGTTATGAAGGTAAAAGTTAACATTGCGTAGAAATAAAATTTCGTACAAAGTATGTTAAACGTACGTTAAGTATATACTTATAATCTTTATTTTTAACATTATTACAACGTACATATGGTAGTATTCGAATTTTTTTATATTTTTACGTGATAATCATAAGTTGATGTGCAAATATATATTTTTCTTTCTTAAAATTGCTAGTCTTGTTACCACTTCTAATGAGCTGCACGTAACATGTTGGACATATACAGCACTACTTAGATTTATGAGCTGTATCATGCATTTATACTTTGATATTGAAAATAAACAGATTTTCTAAAAAATGTTACCGGGATTTTTCCAAACCCGATATAATATTAAAAAGAGGAATCACAAATTTAAATATATAGAAAAAACATATAGGAAATATATTTATTAAGGGGCAATAAAGTAGAATTGTTTTACATAATTATTTCGATGTACATGCGCGGCAAAGTCTTGCCACCAGAGCGTGTAATTGTAATAAACTGTTAATACCTTCTACTATTCCCATATGTGTTATTCCAATTTCCTGCAAATATTAAAAATATTTCCGAAGTATATAAAAATGAAGCATAAATATAATACATCAATATAAATCAAAGCTGATTCAATTTTTACCTTAACAAATTTCAATTTTAGTCTTTCATCCATAGTATGAGTTTTGCAAACTTTAAATACGTTACTGACTATGTCTTCCGCAGAATAACCCATTTTCCAGAAATGATCCATTACCTGTAATAAATATGACTTGTAGTTCTAACATAATATATGTATATATCTGGATAAGCACATATATTACTATCTTTAAACACGTATATTTTACCGAACATGCTTTAGAAACATCTCCCTTTGTGCAATCATCCAGCATATCTTTGACAATTAAAGGATGAGGCTCATCACAGACTTTAAATACATTTTCTGCATTTACGTGATTAAATCCATTGTATGTAGATTGCAGATTATTTAGAGCTTGTCTCATGTCTCCTTGAGCTGTAAATATTATCGCTTCCATGCCATCATCTGTATAAGAAATCTGCAAACAGTAAAGTATAAATAATTTTGTATATCAAGTCAGAATTTCCATTGTCCTATTTTAATTACATTCTCTTTTTCGCAGACTTCAAGAACTTTGGCTAAGACTTCAGCATCCGTTAACTTTCCATATCTTAACATAGCACATCGTGATTGTATAGGTTCGATAATTTCCTCCGTATTGTTGCATGCAAGTGCAAATCTAGTTGTGTGGCTGTAAATTTCCATTGTTCGGCGTAATGCTTGTTGAGCGCCATCAGTCATACTGTCCGCCTCATCTAAAATAATGATTTTATGCTTTCCTTTTGGAAGATTCACCTACAAGTTAGAACAATCATATTTAAAATTTCTAAAATATGAAATTTAAAGGAAAAAACTTCAATATCTTATATATGATATCTTTACCTTTTTCTGAGCAAACATTTTAATTTTATTTCTAACTACATCTATTCCTCTCTCATTTGAAGCATTTAATTCAAGTACAGCTTCTTTGAATGCTGATCCTAATAAGGTACGAGCCAAACATAAAATTGTGGTAGTTTTGCCCACTCCAGGTGGGCCAGCGATGATAATATTTGGAGTATTTCCATGCTGAGCAAAGACTGATAATCTAGATACAGTATCCTCATTGCCAACAATATCAGAAAAGACTTGAGGCCGATATTTCTCAATCCTAAATGAAAACAACTCATATTTTCATATTTAAATAACTAATAATATTGTTATATTTATAACCATTGATATTACAAATATTATTATAATTGATATCATTTCTATGTATATATTATTCACAGTGTAATAAGTAAAAAAAATCTTCATGCAACTAATCAATACTGCTATCAATATAAAATATTAAATCTTTTTAACTATTTTTAACTAAACTTTTTGATTTCATTTGTCTTTTTGTTTTCTTTAAAGATAAAGAGAAATAATAAACCATGCAAGTTCAACTAAAAAGAACAGACCTATTATGCCCTTAAATCCAAAGATATATTAAATATCAATAAATTAGAATATTCTTTTAGAGTTTAATTATATTTCTCAAATCATTTCTATTTGAATTTAAATATGCTACTTTGAAATTGTAAGATCAGAAAGGCAAAAGATAACCTAAACTTAGACAAATAACACGGCGATCGAAGGCTAGAAATGAAACATTTCGTTGCAAAAATTAAACATACCATGGTAAATTTGCAGATTTACTATCTTTCTCCTTAACTTTCACGTTACCCTTGCTCGTGGACGGTAAAATCTCAGTTTCCATGGGTTCATCTTCATTGATAATAATGTCATCTGCCATCTTTGAATTCACACTGACCGCGCGGGAAATACTCGGTAGTTACATGTTTACAATCAAGGAGTGAGAAAGAATAACTAGAAGGAATGCAACATGCCATTTCAAACAATCAGATGATTTATACAAATATAAAATCAAATAAAAATAACTGAATTTATATGATTCGATAATTAATACAAATATTTATTATTAATCAGACATATTGCAACATGAAAAAATAAAGATGTTATAATCAAATGTTTTGCGTTATGAATTTTTATTTTTTGTAACATCTTTAATTTTTCATCTCTTTGTACATGTTCTTTATACATTCGTGAATCAATATACTTATTTCTTCAAGCACAACCAGTATTTATAAATATATATATAAATATTTTTATAAGTATGTATATGTATGTACAATAAAGATAAATAAAATTATACATTGATGTTCTTTCAGTGCAAAAAGATTACGTAAGTAATCATAAATTAATTAAATGATAGAAAAATAGAAATTGGTGATAGCTGTCTTAAATATTATTTCTCGCAATTAACGTATCAGTACAATTTTTATGTATATGAAATATACAGCAGTACAGCAAAGTGTTTCATAAGCAATGAAAAGTTTTTGCGAATTAAGCAGACTTATATCGAGATGGCTGTAGCTCTGACAGCAGCGCTCAGCAAAGGATTCGGATCCGGCTCTTCTGTCAGAATGTTAACTTTCACCCATCCACGTTGTTTGTTACTCTGTCGCAACGCATCAATAACCGCTTGCACGTACAAGCCATCTTCGAATGTAGAAGCGGAGAAGACCGGTTCTTTAATCCATCCTCTTTTATCCTCCACAGATTGAAAGGCTTCTCTTAGCGCTGTGATCATCTTCCTAAGTCCTTTAATGTAAGGCCTGGGTATGGAGTCCGCAATCGGTAAGGATATTCCTTGTAAGTCATCCGTATCACGATACAGGATTTCCTCTTGTTCACCACGACATCCATACAGATCTCCGCCTCGAACAATCAGGTGATTACCACCTCCGCATATCAATACCTCTTGAGAAAGCTGACCTTGCAAATGATTGCTTAGAGTAGCCGTGACTAAAGTACCGCCACTCAATTCCATTTGAAAGCTACAGAAATCTGGTGACGTGACGTGCCTGATCCCATTAATATACTTGGTTGTTTGAGTAAACGTCCTCACAACAGCGTGTACCTTCGAAGCTCGTTGACCCATCAAATGAAAAATCAAATCTATAACGTGACTGCCCACCAATGCCAAGATTCCTCCACCCATTGTATCGTCACACAACCAATCATATCCTGAAATAATCAGCAAACAAATTAAATTGTGATTTAAATATTAATTCAATATTTTTTATATAAATTCTGTAATTAATTATACAAAAGTAAGAATTGCATTTTCTAAACAAAAAACAATAATTTTTATGTTATTTTTTTATTATAAAATAATTCAGTTTTAAAATCTTTTTTGATAACGCATTTGTCTCTTTCATGAGTATCTTCCAAATTATCTTTAAAGATATCAAAAAGTTTTGCGGGTTGTCGCCATGTTTTCATCCATTGTTAATGTCCAACATTTCATGAACCTTGTATTATAGTTATTAGTACTTCATCATCGATACAGTATCAGTGCATTCCTCGCCCTGATGAAGTAAATGGCAAGGTTCATAAAATATTGGCATTAGCAATGGATAGAAACATTAGCAATAACTTACAAGCCTTTGGGTACTTTCAAATTAAAAAATTTTTATATTACCTTCTTAATTTCAAAAGTATTACAAAAAATTAAGTTTTTTTCAGGAAAGGGAAAACTATTTTTTAACTTAACAGAAAATCATTGACTAATCAAATAATATTAGTAAAAAGAAAGAATATACTCTGTTAAAAACATGATTAAACGTCATTTTTGTCATTTTAGCACAATCCTTTAAAAAGTATCCATTTCGAAAAATATAAGATAATCAAAAGGCTAAGCTGAATAAACCAAAAAAAATAAACAAAATGCCAATGTGAGCCAACACTAATTCTTGGAGTGCACTTTTCTTACACAATTTATTAGAAATAAATAAAACATAAATTTACTTCCATTTTGAATTGTGATGGTTTTAACATTCTATAAAATTATGATAAATTTGGAACAATTTGTTAAAGTGACGGAATATCATCAACAGTTTATATTTATCTTCATCAGTCAAAGTGATTAAAAAATTTAAAATAAAATAATTTCTTATATCTTAAGTGCATAAGAGATCTGATATTTGATTTCCCTATGTTTACCATTGTGTAATAAACTGCCCATGTGCACTCGCACTTCTATAATTGTTACAGGTCCACCCAAATATCCATCTTCCAGGGCTTTCTTCATATGTACGAAGGCTGGTAAAAACCTTAGACTGTGATTAACTATGCTGATAAGCGAAGGATAATACTGCGCGGCCCGTACCATCTTCAAGGCCTCACTTTGACTGAGACCCGCAGGTTTATCACACACAACGTGTTTCCCTATACCTAGAGCTTTGACAGCGATCTGGGAATGCAAGCTTGGCGAACACATTATGAAGATCAGGTCCACGTCCTTCCTCAGAAGAACATCATCTATGCGGCTTGTGTGAAACGGTATTTGGAGGTCATTGGCTACCTCCGAGACCTCCGCCAATGTACGACCCCATATAGCCTCGATTCTGAAGCCCTTCTCCCTCAGGAAGGGTATAATGATTCTGACGATGCTGCCTGTGCCAAACACCCCGATGCCGGGTAACGTCATCCTGAACGCGTGGAGGCACGTTCGTTCTTTTTTCCTTTATATTCCTCTCTTGAACTTAACCTATAACGCGAGAGGAGAACAATTTCCACTCTTCAAAGAGTAAAAAGTGTCTAGCTTATGGTATTTATTTTCAATTTCACTTGATATTTAGTCACGCTTCTTCATTTTCGGAATTATAATGTAGGTCACGTATTACCGAATTTGTTTACGACAGCAGAGGTGAATCATAAGAATGAAGATTCATGAAGCCATTCATAAGCACAAATAAACAAACAGTTAAGGCTGATACACATATTAAAAAAAAATTAAAGTCTGTTCTTTTTTACGTTTTTATATTCATATTTTTTTCTATATCGATACATTTGATATGCAGACCTATTTTAAATATACATGCATAAAGTCTCAAGAATTATCTTGAGAATTAATATGAAGTAGTAATCAATCCTAAATAAAAATAATGCCAAATAATAATGTCAAATAACACGATATGAGCGACAGCTTTATCTTCATTTCTTTTTTGCCAAGATATTTTATGTGAAGGTAAAAAAGATAATTCGAAAGAGTTTAAGAGCCAGAATGCTTTTTATAAATTAAAACGCGATGTTTTCAGTTAATAATATGTAAGAATAAAATAACACAGTTTTATTATTTATTCTTCGTTTTTAATAATAATTCCTCTTTGTTATTCTCCCCACCACATAAGTATAAATAAACGTAATAAAGCAAAAATATAGAGGAAAAATAGAATAGAGATAGTAGTATATATTAAAATATTATACATATATTAAAAATATTAACACATAAATGAAATACGGAGAAAGATGTAGGTATAATACATAATAAAGTGTAAATGTTATCTCTTTTTTATTATAAAACAAAAGATAAAGGTTTTACGTTCCAAATATAATTCTTGTTTCCATCAATATTATAACTTTAATCTCAACTTACTGTTTTCTAGTTTTTCTGAGACTTTTTAAAGTTAAACTAGGATAAAAATTAATAATCTGTAAACTCAGACTCCGACAAATAAAATTAATTAATTCTGCATTGATGAAAACGGGGGCATTAAACGATTAAGAAAAAACCTCTTCGTGTGTCATATACGGTCACATTGCAGACGTTTTTCACTGCTATGACAAATCTACGTACGTTCGTACGTCGATGACTGCAACTATTATCATTGATTAACCGAGGTATCCCGAGTTCGCCCGAGCTCAATTTCCCTTCCTTCCCGTCGCCGACGCGAGCCTTTTATCCACTACATTCCGCTTTGTAATCCGCTGTTCGCCTCGCACACAAGCGGTACAACGTGCGACGCGGCTCGACGTGACGTGATGCGACGCGCGCCTGTCACGTCCGCTCCCGCACTCGTCTGACTACCGAAAATATGTAAATATACGCGGTCGCGTGCGCGCGCTCCACGTATCGCAGCATTCGCAGCTCTCCGTGTTCCTCGAGTTCACGTTTACTCCAGCGCGGACTTCACGCCCCGGCGCGCGCGGAGCGATGTCGGAGGTACGCAAGAGAACGACCGTCGGCGACGCGACGTCCTCGGCAGCGGCGTCACGAGATGTCAGCGACGATCAGGTAAAAATACCAATATACTGACGAGGTTTCTTCGTTCTCTCTCTCTCTCTCTCTCTCTCTCTCTCTCTCTCTCTTTTCTATTGTGCCACGGTTTCCGGAACGTATAGGTATTCTCTGGCATGCATCCGCGTCAATGTTTATGCTCCGACGGCTATCGATCTGCGCCGTTGGCGCGACGAGTGGGTGGTTATTTGTTGATACGACGTATTTGACAGCTACCAACACACCGCGCGCGCTGCTCCGACGCCGCGCGTCGCGGCGCCTCGCGTATATGTGTGTCACGAATATGGGTGCTTTCCGTTTATGCTTTCTCTACTAATATACATAGATTAATTGATCTCGATTTAACTAATTACTTTTTATCTCTTTTTCTAGTTCTCTATCAGTATAAATTAACTTTAATCTCCGTTTAACTAATTACCTTCTATCTTTTTCTAGTTTTTTGAAATTAGAGAAAAGTGAGGAGTAAATTAAACTGAGATATTTAAGTTAATCTACATTGGTAGAAATAAATATTATGAATATTGATTAACTTTAATCTTAGTTTAACTAATTATTTTTTATTTTTTTTCAGTTCGAAGAATTAGAGAAAGATAAAAAGTAAATTAAACAGAAATTAAAGTTAATTTACATTGATTGAAATGAATGTCTGCTTTTATCAACTGAGACTAACTTTAATCTCGGTTTAACCAATTGCTTTTTATCTTTTTCTAGTTTCAAGAATTAGTAAAAGATAAAGCAAATTAAAAATTGAGATTAAAGTTAATCTACATTAGTAGAAAGAAACATTGATGAAAAATGATACAAGTTGACACAAACGTTTTATCTTTTTTAGCATTTTATGAATATGAAAAACAGAACTATAATAAGAAGATTTACATTATGAATAGGATAATACTTGTTTTGACTTATGACATCAAGTAGAAAACATCTCATGTAGCATTTTTTTTTATTTATTTCTACTAATGTAAGTTAATTTTGATCTTGATTTAATTTGCATTAATTGTACTTTTGTTATTGTTGTACTTGCAGTTTTAAGAATTAAAAAAGTACATTAAACGAGTACATTAAACGCAGATTAAAGTTAATCTGTATTGATAAAAATGAGTCTTATTATAGCTGAACTGAAGTTCTTGTACATTCATTATATTTGTTCTTGTATATTCATCTTTTCTTATTTCTTCTTCAATGTAGAAAAAAAGGCAGGGACGTACAAGTTCAGCTAAAAATGAATAACAAGTCTTAAGTACGCTCGTGATATCGTATTCATTCATACATGACATATACGCATTTGCATTAATTTTCTTAGGGAGGGGGAGGGAGGGTTGGGGATTGGGGGGAGTGTTTTGGATCAGATCAGCCGTGAAGCGAGAGATCCGGGTTGCCATGGGTTAAAAGGAGCGGGAGATATAACGGCACAATGATATTTCTCCATTAAAGAGCGAGCGAAGTCGAGCTTTGGATCGTACGAGGCTCATATGACTAAGTTCCCGAGGGGATGAACCAAATGAGAGAAACCTTTAACCTTTTGCGTGTCATGTCTACTTGTTCTTTGTCCCTCCTTTGTGCCCCTTCCTAGTCCCGCGGCAATTGTGACGTTTATCTGATGTTTTTCTAATTAGAATATGTGTCTTCGCGTAACCTCGATGCATTTTAATTGTCATGAATATTTAATTTCCACGTATGTAATATGATACTGTAATTTTGCCCTTTGATTCTGTTTTTTTCCATTCTCTTCTTCATTTAATCCTTCGTTTGCAATTTGAGTTTTTTTTTGGCACAAGCGAAATTTTACTCTCAAATTTCTTCGAAATAAGGAAGAACGAAATCCGATCTTCTCCCCCTCCCTTTGATATTTAAAATTGTATATTTGTATGTACGTGTACTACTTATATTTTATACAACATCGCTGAAGATGGCACGGAAATTATCTTTTTAATAATGTATTAATTTAAATTTAATTAAATATTTGCCAATCACAACACACACACATTTACCGTATTGTGCGTTAATTAATTGCCATTAATTACAAATATTATATTTTTTTCTATTTAGGATTATTTTTTGAAAGCTTAGAATAATAAAAAAAAAATTGGACTGAACGAAAGGAATAAAAATATAATTACAGACAGAGAATAAAATATCAGGGAATATACAACGAACAGCCTTGATATTTATACAATTAGCCTATGATTTTTAATCTTTCTTTTTCATATACTTATATTTTTCATTTCTATACTTACAATTGTGAAATAAAATATATTACTATATATGTATATAGTATACAATATTTTCTTAAGAAGAACTAGAGATCTTAAACTATGTGAGATGCATGTACAACATAGATTTTTGTATACCTCGTATTGTATAATAATGAGGAAATGCCAATGGAAAAATTAAGAATAGGTTGAGAAATAAGAGCAAACAGATACAAAGAAAGAGATAAAATACAGGTGAGTTATAGTGAAGGCATGTTGGGCAGAGAAATAAAATTATGAGTAGGAAGATTAGAAAAGAACGAGAAAAATATTACAATAGGGATGGTTGTATTAGAACTAGAGAAATACCTATTATTATAGATGGAAAAAGGGAAGGTTTCAAAGAAAAGATAATAAAGAAGGAAAGGAATGCATAAAGGGGCGACGGGAGAAAGATAGGTTAAAGAAGGCTATGTAAAATATAAGAAACTATTAACAATGAAAACTCAACTATCTAAGGAAAGAAAATTTGGAGGAGCTGAAAAGAGGAGATAAAATAAGAACAATAAAATCAGGGTATCGAAATTTAGAAAAAGCATATAAATATTAGTTGAGTGAAAAGGAATAGAATGTGTATTCTATAGAAAAGGAAGAGATAATATAAATCATTACAAAAGATGATGAAGAATTAAAGGACAGATAAGGAGATAAATAAAATTAGGAGAATTAGGCAAGGAGATAAATAAAATCTCTGAGGTAGAGAGAGATTATGGGACGAAAAATTATAGACAATATAAAAGGAAAGATGTTAAAAGAATTATGAAAAGACAGAGAGAGGAAACTGAGAAAGAGAAGGGAGAGAGGGAAAGGATAAAGTGGCTGAACAGGTAGAGATTTAAAAGTAGGGTATTTATGATAAGAATGCATTTGAGAGCAGCGAGAAAGTGTTATTGTAAATCAGGTTGTGCTTACGCTGTGCTTAAGTTATAAGATAAATAAGAATAAGTATAATAAATATAGAATAAGTTAGAAAGAAAATGAAAAGTATGGATGAATGTGATTAAAAGGATATAACTGTAAATCAAATCCCCTTCTTGATTTTTGTAAAACGCTAATGTGAATAAATTGTATTCTATTCTATATATATATTTTCTTATTTCGGAACATATATATATATATATATATATACATAGATTACTTTTAATTTTGTACAAATAGATCTAGCACATATTTTAATATATATTTAAAAACTTGATAAATGAACCTTCAATCAAATGTACATTCAATCATCAAAACCACAAATATTTCTTTTAACGTAGTTTTTAATCAAGTAGAAACTTATTTTAATAAAATAAAAAATTATTGCTTTTACATTCAATAAATTTATGCTAATAATTTTTTACTTTTCCTCAGAAAGAAGATGTTGAATCCGAAGATGATGCGAAATTGGAGGTAGACGAGTTAGCAAAGGCTTTACCTCAAGGAACTGACCATACCCCACATATTTTAAGTTCCGTTCTCTCTGGTCTTCCAGATCGGTAAAATATTCATATTACTCCTTTTATGCAATAATTTTATCTTAATTCTATCTAAATTTTTTGTTGTGGTTCTTTACAGTTGGCGAAATTGGATAATTAGAACCATTTTTACTTGGTTTATGATAGCTGGATTTTGTCTCATTATTTATGGAGGTCCATTGGCGTTGATGATTACCGTAAGTTTTCATCAAAATATTCATACCATTCGTTAGTACAATATTTTTATATGTATGTATGTAGATATGTAAAAGATTAATATGTATATTTTTCTTTTTATAGACGTTGATTGTACAAGTGAAATGCTTTGAAGAAATCATTAATATCGGATATGCTGTATATAGGATCCATGGTCTACCATGGTTCAGATCTTTATCGTGGTATTTTTTGATAACCTCGAATTACTTTTTCTATGGAGAAAATTTAATGGACTACTTTGCGGTGGTAATTAATCGGACAGTAAGTATTATTCTTCCAATCCGAATCGCTTATATTCATAAAATTTATTTTTAAACATATTGATTCTCGCAAAGTCGTATAATTTTTAAAAGTTACATGCTGGTATAAAATTTCATTGTTATGCTACTTACTTGTGATGTTTTCAGAAAGAGAAAAGACCATTTGTAAAACGCATCTATATATCATCAATAGCATTAGTTTAAATCAATAACAAAGCCTCGACAAGCCTTATCTCAATACTTTTGTTATGGCTTCATCATTCTGTGTGAGGCTTCTTTATTAAAGATATTTTATGTAGACATAATAGAAAGTGGAGAAAATAATAAGAACGATATTAAGAATATGTTAAATTAGTGTGCACATTATACACACGTAACGTGTGTAATATAAATAGATAATAACAACTTTTATTGTCCTTAGGGATATCTACGTGTGCTCGTTACATACCATCGATTTATCTCATTCTGTCTTTACATTGTTGGCTTCGTATGGTTTGTACTCTCACTCGTGAAAAAATATTATATGAAGCAATTCTCCCTATTTGCTTGGACGCACGTCGCGCTACTTATTGTTGTGACACAGAGCTATCTTATTATCCAGAATATATTCGAAGGATTGATATGGTACATATATTATCTACCAATACTATTATTATACTATATCTAAGTTAAATATCTGCTTATTGCATTAATTATGTTGATTGTCTTCAGGTTCATTGTACCTGTCAGTATGATTGTCATAAATGATGTTATGGCATATATGTTTGGTTTCTTTTTTGGACGAACACCATTAATAAAATTGTCTCCGAAGAAGACTTGGGAGGGGTTTATTGGTGGTGGTATTTCGACTGTCGTACTTGGATTATTGGTAAGACATTAAAAAAATGAAAATAATATCACAATTATCATGTACTAATGTAGTATTTTTGTTTAGATCTCCTACATTATGTGTCAGTATCGCTATTTCGTCTGTCCTATTGAGTACAGCGAAGCTCTAGGAAGAATGACTATGGATTGCGAACCATCGAGCTTATTCCAACCACAAGAATATACATTACCAAGCAGTCTTCAAGTGATATCAAGAATGGTAACAAATCTTTATATATGGAATGTTTTAATCGTATAATACATAGATGCTCAATGATTTTTCAATATGTGCAGTTAAATGGAAAATCTACCTTGACAATGTATCCATTTATTTTACATTCATTGTCGCTGTCAATATTCAGTTCTGTAATTGGTCCGTTCGGAGGATTCTTTGCTAGTGGATTTAAACGAGCGTTTAAGATTAAGGTAATTGAGCATTTTTTTACGTCAATTAAATTTTAAGTTAGTATTTATTTTTTAAAAAAGTTAATATTAAAAATTTTTGACACAATTATCGTTTTCTTCTTATACTTTGCAGGATTTCGGTGATATAATTCCTGGTCATGGTGGAATAATGGATAGATTTGATTGTCAGTATTTAATGGCAACATTCGTGAATGTCTATATCTCTTCATTCATCCATACTGCATCGCCTCAAAAGTTGTTACAGCAGGTAAACTAAATAAATAAAGTTGTTTAATTTTTTATAGCATAAGTTTCAGCAATATTAATTTCTTTTCATATTATAAATTATAATACGACAAGAAATAAGCATAATTCTTTAAAACATATGTATCTTTTAATTTAGGTTTATAGCCTGAAACCAGAACAACAATTGCAACTTTTCCAAACACTAAGGGATTCGTTGGAAAATAGGGGTATGCTAAATTAATTTTTTAAATAAAATTAATATTTTTTTAATTAAAAATTTAATGGCAAAACTGCTACAGGGATGATTTTACCAATTAAAAAAATACTAGGAAAGATTTTCCAAACATCTTTTCTAATATTTTTGCAGACATTAATACACAGATGACAATGCAATCAGTATCAAATATATATATAATTGTAATTATTTGTTAAACTGTGACAATGAAGTTTATTTTGTAATTTTTAGGTATATAAGGGTTCATATCATAACTGTGATAGGACTGTCTAATTGAAAATTAACGTGGCCAGAGATGAGAGTATTTTTTTCTCATTTTATTTTGTATTTTTTTTTATTTTTTTTTTTTTAATAAAGATGATGGGTTTTGATATATTAGGAAAAGAATTTTCTTCAACGTATTTAGTTCTTTATGTATTTCGTATTATTATAATTATATAAGAACTCGTTTATTTTTATGTACATCAAAACTACGATGCACGTTATGAAATAAAATTGTAATATACTATACTGTGATTAACTCTGGCCTAAGAGTAATCAGTTGGATAGGTCTATCATAATTTTATAACTATTTTCGTGCATTCCACATTAGATAGTCAAATTTCTGTCAAATGCAATAGTTTATATTAAACTACAGCATTACTAAAAATGTGAGATATTTTTGTCTTAAAAAAAGATGAACCAAAGAAAGTTGTATCATGAAGATCCTGTGTTATACATAGCAGCATTTATTGTAAAATTTCCTCTATTTTCTAAAAAAAAAAAAACAGTTATTTATCGTTTTCGATTAGATATTATATAATACAGACCAAAAAAACTAAATGATATTTTTATGTAATATATTCTATTTAAACAAGATATTTTTACTTATATTACAGATCTCAATAGTTTCTATTTGTAATCACATTGTTATAATTGCATTTAAATTATTAAAATCATATACAATATAAACGAATCTCGTTTGTATATATGCATTTGTTCTTTTATGTAAAATTGTTAATTCTATAAGTAATCTTTGTTTCAATGAAAGGCATCCGTTTTGTTAAATTATAATGTTTATAATTGCTATGTATATAAGGAAAAATACCCTATTAACGTATTTGTATGTTACGTACACGTAGTAAGGTTAATGTTGTTTGGTAAAACGGTTCTACTTAGGAGTTTAGCATTATGCTTTTTTCTTTTTGTATCGGGTGTATCATATTTGTTTAACGATAGTTAAATAAAAGATTAGTCATTATCTCTAGATTATATTGTAATCATGTTATTTATATTTATATTTTATACGATTATTGTCATTTTTATTATCATTGAAATATACGAGTATCTAAAAACTTTAATTGGATAATGGTGGACAGTTCTTTTTTTGAAAATTTTTATCAATTATATAGTTGAACATTATTTTCAATCATGTGTAAAGGTTCAAATTGTTTTTGAAATCGAATTCTCGGAAAGTCTTGAAAATTTCTGAAAATTTTATGCATCTAGAAAATTAAATAAAAAACTAAAACGTGTTAAAAATAAAATTGTTATCTGTGTATAAAATAAGAAATGAATAGAAATAATAATGTAAAGTATATTTTATAAAAGAAAAGAGTATATTTTCAAAAAATGTTCATAACTTTCAAGAATCTTGATTTTTGTAGAAGAGATAATTTGAGCTATATTACAAGTGATTTGATATATATATCAAAGTCCATCAATGTTGGATATCGCATTTAAATAAAGATCTCAAAATTTTCCTGCCGTATAAATGTATATACAAGTACTCGCATATTTCTTACAAAACAATCGTATGCAAAATCTTGCCAATTTACAAGAACTACGTTTGTAAGAAACCGCTTGTTATTCGTGAACCATGTAATACGGTATAAATTATTTAGCCATTACAACCGTGATTGTAGTACTTATATTCATAATGCTAAACTTCAAAACATTGCGATATTTATATATATATAGCACGTATAGCGAGAAAGAAAGATTATATATAAAATTATTTAGACGAAATCGATCTCTATTTATTAATCGCCGTTTCTACTATTGGAAAAAATGTAATAAATGGAAATGGATTTGTCTATCATGTTTGTATTAGTGTAGTGGTACAATTTTGTGGTGTATTATATTATTGATAAAAATATGGTCAGGCTACCAAAATTAATTATTATCTAATTTGCCTTGCCATATATTATATGGAAATATCTGCTGACACTAATTGAGAAATAATATTAAGAATGAATCTTTTTTACATATGTTAATTGAAAATTATTTTATTGTGCTCCCAATTAGTTCCAATACTGTCTGTAATTGTGCCAATCATACTTAAGAAGTATAGATACTCTTACGTAAATCGTGTATTGATGTGGCACAATCAAAACTAGCCTTCTGTGATTGGATTAACGTAAATTATGTGTAATATGAATAACATAAATTATGTGTAATATGAATAATGCGTTACGTATTGTTGAAATATGTTCAAATCTGCATATTATGAATGTCTTGAAACAGCTATTGTTGAACGCGCGAATTGGTTTAATTCAACTGCAGATCTGCAATCATTTCTATCAGTTCATGCAATTGATTCATCGCTCCGTGATTTAATTTTAATTTTAGTATTGCTATATTATTGCCTGACAATAAATGTTGTAGTGTTAATTCTTCTATTCGTTCGCTACTCCAAAGCTATTTCAATTAAGATTTTGAGCGTGTTTTACGAAGAAAACGTATTCCAGATAGCAAGGTACTAGTACTTTGTAGACACATTGACAGCAAATTCAATCAGATTCTTATTGCAATCCATAGAAGTCTATGTTTACACATTCAGGATCAATCGATCAGAGTTTACTGACAAGTTATGCCAGCAGATTGGTGGTAAAGCACATCAGCAAACTTTGTCCTATTTCTGGCGGCAGTTTACCGATATCATCAGATGTTACAGATTGTGTGAAATTGTTGTCTTTTGCCAACAGAAATTGATAACATTCTCTGTTCAAAATCTGCCTCTGCAGCCTTGGCTATCTGGGTATAGTCTAATTAAAAACATTATGTTTGTAGTTCCTTTTTATTTCTAAACGTTTACGAAAGGTTTCTATAGCAAAAACTTATGAGGCATTAGTGTTAACAGAGAAATATAATGACAGATGAATGGATCGAACATATATATATATACGAGGTGTGATAAAAAAGAAACGAGAATTTCTTAATTGCGCGCATTGTAGTGTATCAATTTAATTAAATGTTTTTTTTTTTTTTTTTTTTAAGATTTCAACAAATTTATTGGCTCGTAACCCTGTGTCTCTTTATTAGTTTAAAATTTATTGAGCCATATTAAAAACATATATTTTAATTAAATGTATTTTTTTCAAATTGGTAGTACTGTTAGTGAAATAGTAGCTTCAGACCAGTGTGATCCTCAGTTTGTTTTTGGTGAGCCCGTTAAGTAAGATGAGAGCATTCTGCAATCTTAATGTGCGGCGACATGTCAGAACAAAGAATTTGTTAAAAATTTTGTGTTAAAAACAAAATTAAGTGCAGCGAAGCATCCAAAATGTTACAAACAGCCTTTAGTGGCAATACTATGTCACAAACACGTGCTTACGAATGGTATAAACGCTTTAAAGAAGGTCGTGAAGACATTAACGATGACGCTAAGTTTGGGTGTTCTAGCACCTTATGCAATGATGAACACGTTAAAAAAGTGAAAGAGAGTGTGCTTGCTAATCGAATTACCATCAAAGAGGTTGCTAAAGAACTAGGAGTAACGTATGTCTCATGCGAAGCGATTTTCACTAATTTTTGGGGTATGAAACGAGTAGTAGCTAAATTCGTTCCGAAAATTTTGAATTTTTAACAAAAGCAGCACCGCGTAGAAATCGCCGAACAAATGCTTGCTGACGTCGCTAATGACTCAGAATTACTCCAACGCGTTATAACTGGCTATGGCGTAGAAACAAAGGCTCAATCATCGTCATGGAAGTGTTCTGAAGAGTCGAGACCGAAAAAAGCGCGTCAAATGAGGTCAAACGTGAAGGTTTTTCTTATCGTTTTCTTTATGACTACAATGGAGTTGTGCACTTTGAATTACTATACCGACAGGTCGCACAGTTAATAAAGAGTATTATTTACAAGTTATGCGTAATTTATATGAGTCTATCCGAACAAAACGAACTATGGAAAGAAAATTCATGGATTTTACACCATGACAATGCACCGGCACACACCGCATTACTTATCACGCAGTTCTTGAACACAAAACCACTTTGATGCTGTATTTCTCCAAACATGGCCCCTTTTGTGACTTTTTCCCATTCCCTAAACTCAAGAGGACCTTAAACGACAACGGTTTTCAATGATGGAGGAAATAAGGGAAAAATCGCTGGCCAAACTGAAGGCAATACCTAAAGAGACGTTTCAACGTGCTTTGTAAGCTGGAAACATCGTTGGCAGAAGTGTATTGTATCCCAGGGGGATTACTTTGAAGGGAACAGTATAAAAATTGATGAGTAAATTAATATATTTTTTGAAGAGAGAGAGAGAGAGAGAAAATTACAATTCTCGTTTCTTTTTTATCATACTTCGTATATATATATACTATTCATGTATATTTATTTAATAGGAAATATAAAAGAAAGGATATATATATATATATAAATGTATAGATGGAAATTATTTAAACAAATATGTTACAAATTACATACAATTTTAGATTTAAAAGATAATTTAAGTTTTAATATATGATATATTTATGTAGCAATAAAAAAAAAATAAAATCCTGAAAGATTAATGCTGTTATAATAGAACATGAATGTTTTATTATATTTTTCACTACTCTACCGTTCCGTTATTACAGAATCATTTCATTTCATTATCATTTACATATATTAAGTTATTATATATTATTTCGAATTTCTCGATTTTTGTAAAATTACTGAGCATTTTTTTTCCTAAATTTCTCCGTTCTTTTTTAAATCTGCGTGTGATTAAGTGAGAAAATAAATGAAAGATATCGTGTATTCATAATATAAATAATTAATATCAAATCTTATTGGACCGTGAAAGTTTAAACTAATAAATAAAATAATAAAATATGTAGAAAAGCTTAAAGAGAATAGCATTTCAGAGTAGAAGAATTAAAATTTTGTATTTCTAATTATTGTATATATATATATAATTTGTATTTCTATAATTTAATTTGTATATTTCTAATTTTTTTTCTTCTGTTATCTCTATTTCTGAAAAGTCATAGTTAAAGTATTAACTTTAATAAATATATACCTTTACTATAAGTTAATGTA